GCCCGCCCTCCCTCGTGGACAGACAGACCAGGGCTGCCCCTCTGCCCACCCTCCCTCATGGGCAGACAGACCAGCAAAGGGGCTTTCTGTCCCTCCCTCCTCCCATCAGATGCGGTCGCGAAGCAGAGATGGGAAGTGCCCAGTGTCTGGCGCCGCACCAGGTGCTGTGGGTGTGGCAGCTTCTCCTGCAGAGGAGGAGAAGCTTCTGGCTTCAGAGGATAAACACCAGCAAACAGGTAACAATCTGAAATAGTAAGAAGTTATAAAAAAGAGCATGGAAGAAAGAGGGAAGAAGGAAGGGAGAAAAATGCTGACAGAGGTGAGAGGGTGAGGTGGAGAGGACCTCCATCCGACAAGGTGGCTGCAGAAGTCATCTCTGAGGATGTTATTTGAACTGAAACTTCAGCATGGGCGCAGCCATGTCAGCAGTGACGCAGGCGAAAAAAGGAGAAGGCTCAGAACTAGGGCATGGAGATGAGGGTGGAGACTGAAGTCCTGGCTTCCTAGGAAAATCATCTTTTTTAGAAATCACCTGTTTCATCCTGCCATCGCATTCCCAGTGATGAACATTTCTGTCAGAGCATTTAAAAGTACCATTGGAAACGTGGCCTTGAGCTTGGGGCCGTGTGTAGCCTCAAATCAATTCTTTCCTCCATTGAGCAAAGACTGACCACGTGCCGGCCACGCCGAGAGCGTCGTTTTATGGGGAACAGGTACACCTACTGCCGTGGACAAAGTAAGCTCCTCTTACTTGGCTTATTGAAGATGTACCTTCAGCCTACATGGAAAAAGAAATAGTCAATTTATAAAGACAGATGCAATACAAAACAAAGCTTTAAAAATGAGCACAACACCCTGTTCCACTTTGGGAGCTGAGAATGACAGCTGTTAATCCAGAGCTTTTTTGCTACACGTGTGAACGGGGGCACCTCAGAGGTGACGCTGTGCTGACAGCCCAGGGTGACCCCCTCACAATGTACATGCATTGGGCATCTCAGAGGTGACTCTGTGCTGACAGCCAGGTGTGCTGCCCTCACCGTGCCCAAGTAGGCAGTGAACACCTCAGGGGTGACTTGTCCTGGTCACAGGAGGTCCCTCCTTACTGTGCACAAGCTGGGGGGACCCAGGTGTGTGCAAGGTGCAGTGTTTATACCATGGGGAAGACCTGAAGGTCCATCCAGCTCCCCATTCCTGTCCTCAGAAACTCACGGGGGCCCAGTGGCAGTGGAGCCGGAAGCTGCTCGTGTGCTGGGATGCAAACGCAGGGTGACTCCGAACCTGACTTTGCTCCTTGTTCTGTTAGGCTTCTGTCAATAACTGTTTGAACAATTTCTCGTAGATGTCTTTGGATATATTTACATCTGTACCTTCTCTTTTGGCAATGAGTTCCATAATTTTACTCTTCATTATATAAATTACTTTCTTTAATTTGCCCTCAGTATAAATCAGACAAGTTTAAATGTGGCTCAGAGGTTCTCTCTTTGTCCGTGTGGTGCTGGGATCTGACACCTTCAAGGTGAAGGAGGAGACTTGTTTTCTCTCAAAATGAATGCATGTACTCTTTTATTTTTAATTGTGATAAAACGTGTGTAACATAAAACTACCATTTTAACCACTTTCAAAGTACAGCCTGTGGCATTAAGTAAATTCACAATTTCGTACGAGCATCATCAGCACCATCCAACTGCAGAACTTTTCATCATCCTGACCACAATCTCCGACCCGGTAAACACTTACTTATCATTTCTCTCTTCCCTAAGACTCTAGCAAAAGCCATTTTACTTTGTTTCCATGGACTAAGTTGGCATGTAATAATTGCACATGTTTACGGGGCACAGTGTGATATGTTGGTGCATGTGGACACTGTGTAATAATCAAATCAGTCTAATTAGCATATCCATTACCTCAAACAGTTGAGAGCATTCAAAATCCTCTCTTCTGGCTGCTTCGCAATCCACCGTAAATTACCCTGTGAGAGGACCAGCACTTCTTCTTCCTTCCATTTGCCGCTTTGTTCACATTAACCAAGCTCCCGCTGCCAGCACCCCGCTCCCCTGCCCTTTCCCGGAAGCACTGTCGCATTCACCACGTTTTGAGCTCTTCTTTAGCTTCTGTGTATAGGTGAGACCAGGCCATGTTTTCTTCCTATGTATGGCTTCTTTCACTTTGCGTGGTGTCCTCCAGATTCATGCATGTTGCCACGAATGGCAGGCTTTTCTCCTTTTCCAGGCTGAGTAGTATTCCCACGTGTAGTTAACCACATTTGCACTGTGCTCACCTGCTGCCGGCGTCACCTTGGTTTGAGTCCACATCGTGGCTGTTGTGAATGGTGCTGCAGTAAACGTGGGGTGCACGCAGCCCTTCCATGGCGTGCCTTCCCTTCCCTTTGCTAAATCCTCAGCAGGAGGATCGTTGGATCATGTGGAGGTTCTGTTTTCAATGTTAGCTTTTTCGTGGCTGTACCAGTTCACACTCCCACCAGGCATGTGTAAGAGTTAAGGAAAGGCTTTGAGTCAGAGGAAACCAGCCGGGGCCACTGATTTTGAATCCGACTCTGACACTCACTGTGGCTCACAGCCAGTCCCTTAGGCTGTGGGCTTTTAATTTCCTCATGAGCAGAGTGGGGCTGCTGTCCCTTTCTGTTTAGTGTGTAGCTCTTTTTAAAGAATTGAACAAAATAGTAAATATAAATGTTCTCCATCAACTCAGTAGCTGGCTGTGTTACTTTTTTCCGTGCTGTTCATAATTTCGTTGCCTTTGACCAAACTCCCTCCTGGTTTTCCTTTGAGAATCCTGTGTTTCAGGGACTGTGTTTACATGGTAACATTTTGTGGTTTTGGGTGAAGTTGCAATCACAGCTTCGTTCAGAGTGTCACAGTGCGTGTGCCCCCCCCTCATTCTCACGCAGGAATCTGGGCCACATTTAGCTGTTATCTCTGCCTTCACAATATCTGGGGCCCATCAGTAGTGACCCCCAGGTTCTGCTGCTGAATGACCAAAAATCGATCAAACGCATCAGATACAGTTCAGGTTTTTCTCTCCATGTTCAAATGGAAATTCACCCTCATTCTTTACAGTTTTGAGGCAGCATTGGCAATATTTCTGCTGTGCCAACGCCAACAACAGGCCTGAACTTCAGCCGCACGCTCCCGCCCCCTCACGGTTTAAAACCTCCCTCACTGGGGTGCTGTCTCCACTCATGTCCTCTTAGGTGTTCAGGAAAGACTCATTTTATATCTACCATTTCCCCACCTATGAACGAGTTACCACACTCACATGGCAGTTACCATGCCCTGTGATCCTCCTCAGAGGCTTTCAGAATATGTGCAGTGGCCCGAAGATCTCCTGGTGTCTGCACGTTGACACTGGATTCCAAG